TACATTTTTAAACTTTTGGTTTCAACAGGGTCCCATACAATCTTAAATTAGTGATAGAGTATTCTTAGTGTGTTTGAAGTCCTGGGTATGGAGCTGTCTCTGTCCCCTCACTAATGGCACTTACAGAAGACCATATTCCATTAGATGTCTAGAGCTGTTTTTTTTCCAAAATTATACACACCACACACACACACACACACACACACTCACACACACACATTATATGAGGTGGTGGGAGCATATTTGTGCCACAGCATGTGTAGAGGTAGGACAGCTTACTGGAGTCAGTTATCTTCTTCCATCATACAGGACCTGGAGGAATCAAACTAAGGCAAGCATCTTTACAAGCTGAGCCATTTTGACAGTTCATGACAGTTAATATTCACTACCAACTTGATTAGATTGAGAGATATCTAGGAGATCAATAAAACACATCTCTGGGGTGTCTAAAAGAGTACATTTCCAGAGACAAATCATGATGACTTTGACTTACTCAATGGTTTAATCTATAGGTTTCTAAACTGTGGGTAGTGGACCTATGTATGTGCATGTGTGTGTGTGTGTGTGTGTGTGTGTGTGTGTGTGTGGAGGATAGTGTCATGAACTCTTTGGCAACAATCCAGACTCTTTCTGGCAATATTCTCTTCTATTATATCCTGAGAATTTACTTGTAGCTTTCATCCTGAACATATAACATGAACACACTGAACCTGTGTGCCATCAAGCCACCCAGAACAGGAATGATCCCTGCCTGAAACATTCTGGTTAGATTTGAGACTACTGTATGCTAGAAATTGCAGTGTTTTTACTGCATATACAGTGGTTTAATTATGGAAAATAGATTTTAAATATTGTTCTACTCCTTATATGTATCAGATTTGTACATCTTTGTATTTTATTGCTAGAATGTTTGACTTTTTAAACTGTTGTATGAGTTCCAGCGAACTCATTAGGTTGAGCATGTTTTTAGTCTCTCTGAGTTGCTATGCTTGTCTAGAGTAGTATTCTCAGCTCAAAACTTCCCAGAGAGGTATATGGATTCATTTCTGGGTCAGAGCATGGTCTTCTGGGGGTACACACTTCCCAGTGTGTACCTGCAACACATATTGAATGTTGGCCTAACTAGAGCATAATAATCTACTTAACTAGGACTAGTAGAGTAGAGTAGGTTCAAAATAGAGTTTTCTCCTTTCATCCCATATTCCTTATATTCTCCAAGGATTTCTTTGAATAATACCTAAATCTTCACTTTCTGTTTATAATCACAACCTTTCCTACCTCTGTACCTGTAGGGATAAGCTCTTGTGTACTGTGTAAAAGGATCACCTGTCAATAAAGAGCAGGAGGGCCTATAGCACAGCAGGAGGGAATAGGTGGGACATCCAGCAGAGAGAAAGGAATTCTGAGAAGTATAACTCTTAGCTTTCCCTCCTCACCACTTTGTTCCCTGTAATAACAACTCTGAGACTTCTTATTTATTAATAAATGCTTAGGCCATATGCTTCAGCTTATTCTCCAACCAGCTCATAATTCAACTGTCCCTTTTATTCTAACCTGAGTTCAGCTACATTGGCTGGTTTCCTCTCCATTCTGGGAGAATTGCCCATGTCTGACTATTTCCCAGAATTCCTCTCTCCCTGCTAGAATTCCCACCTCCTATTTCCTGCCTCAGCTTATTGGCCATAAATTTTTTAATTGACAGGTGATGCTTCCATACAGTCCATTACTGTGCTGGCTGGTTTTGTGTGTCAACTTGAGTCATCAGAGAAAGAGCCTCACTTGAGAAAATGCCTCCATGAGGTCCAGCTGTAAGGCACTTTCAAATTAGTGATCAGTAGTGCCCAACCCATGGTGGGTAGTGGCATTCCTGGGTGGTGGTCCTGGGGTTCTACAAGAAAGCAAGCTCAGCGAGCCAGGGGAAGCAAGCCAGTAAGCAGCACCCCTTCATGGCCTCTGCATCAGCTCCTGCCTCCAGGTTCCAGCCCTGCCTGAGTTCCTATCCTGACTTCCTCCAGTGATCTATGATCTGGAAATGTAAGCTGAATAAACCCTTCCCTCCCCAATTTGCTTTTTGGTCATGGTGTTTCTTTGTGGCAACAGAAATCCTAACTAAGGCAATCACTGAGAAAAGTCAGGGCAGGAGGTCAAGACAAAAACTGAAGGAGAGGCCATTGTGGAACACTGCTCACTGGCTTGTTCCTCTCATGGCTTGCTCAGCCTGCTTTTTTAGACAAGAACCGCCAGTACAGGAATAACATTCCTCTCCCTCCTCCTCTACAAGACGGGATGGGACGACCTCAATCATCAATCAAGTAAATGCACTATAGACTTGGCTACAGGAAAATCTTATATAGAGGTACTTTCTCAATTGAGAGTAACTCTTCTCAAATGACTCTAGCTGTGTTAACAAAAACCAACCAATGAACCAGGCCACTGACTTTAAAGTGGTGATTCCTTGCATTATCATTGAACTTGGGTTGGGCTTCACTTCTTGCCTTCAGAGGAGTAAGAGAATGAACTTGTGCTATTCATTTGCTTGAGACAGGGTCTTTTTTTTTTTTTTTTTTGGTTTTTCGAGACAGGGTTTCTCTGTGTAGTCCTGGCTGTCCTGGAACTCACTCTGTAGACCAGGCTGGCCTCGAACTCAGAAATCCGCCTGCCTCTGCCTCCCAAGTGCTGGGATTAAAGGTGTGCACCACCACCGCCTGGCTGAGACAGGGTCTTGTTATGCAACTCAAACTGCTATTTAACCCTCAATCTTCCTTCCTCTGCCTTCTAAGTGTTGGGATTATAGGTTTGTGATACACCTGACCTGAAACTTGTACTTTTAAAGCATGAAATTTGAGGTAATTTTTCTTACAATAGTAATAGAATGTATTTTATTGGAGGTGTTTTGAAGTCATGTAAAACTTGTTTTACCTCAAACTTTCATCCATTAATTTTCAGAACTATCCATTGGATTTTGTCTACCACAAGTAATGGTGTTTTTTCTATTTGCTAATATATTATTAATCAGAACTCCATAGTAGGGAGGAACTATCCTGTCTCCCCTTTATTTATGAAGTATTTGAACCTACAGAGTCTCTTGTTCTGTGCCCATAAAGCAGCGCCATTATCATGAGTTGGGTGCTCACATGGTCCACAATCTGACAGGTGGGGAGTTTTGAGCTACTCTTACACCCTGTGAAGGTCTATCTGTTTGGGAAGTACTTTCTTGATCGCTGGAGGAATCGTTTAAATGCTGGCTTAGATTACTGAGGCTGTTGCAACAAAAATAACCACTAGTAGGTGACTTATAAATAATCCAGATTTGCCATTCACAGTTCTGAAGGCTGGCAGTCCAGGACTAAAGCATGCTCAGTACAGAGAGGACTGTTTCCTACCTCAGATATGGCGCTGTGCCTGTCACCTCCTCAAACCCCTGCTTTCTGCTACTATCTTCTTAGGGAGTTAGAATTCAACATGACAATTATGGGGGGGGGGTAGCACATAGCAATACCAGCTGATAACACTCTCTATTCCTTCCACAGACAAGGCTCTGCACAGATGAGGGCTGCCCACAGTAGGACTAACCTCAGGCATTGGCAATCAGAATCTGTAATTCTGAGCAGGTTGGAGAAGCTGATTTTTAACATCTGCTAGACTCACGCTGGGAGAGGTTATGTGTACCTCCAACTATGATGGTAGTTTTCTTCTAGATTTTTCAGCTTCCCTGAACAAATGCTCAGACTGGTCACCAGCTCTTCTCTAGCCATACCATTTGACCTCATTAGTATTTATTTCTGCAATGACAAACTTGCATGCTTATCACATAGTAACCAAAACAAACAGCACTGACAAAGACTTCCTCATTTCAGAGTGAAAGTGCAGTTCTCTTAATTACAGTGTCAATTACGTGAAAAAGTTGCTTGTTAGTTTCCCATCCTAGCTGCAACCCTGTTAACAGTAAACTCTGCTAGTCCCTCCCAAGCAGATATCGGGTTTCTACTCTAAGAATTCTAGGATGGGCAGGGCAGGGATCCTGAAGCCCTTGATTGAATACTAGTGACCACATCCTGAGAGCTGGCCTGGTACTTAGAATTGGCTGTCTATGCTGCTAGAAAGCATGGGGTTGTGGGGAAGGTAAGCGTTTTACTGCCAAGACCACAATGTCTAACAGGGTGCCCAGGCTCCACCAGGGCCAAGATAAACAAATCTCATTTCGACAGGACCTGATGCTGTTACTTTTGAAACACACAAGAACTGCTTGTCTTTGGCTCTCAACTGTAAGGAACTTACCTTTCCCTGTAAGTTAGAAAAATAAAAGAAGCAATTCTTCGGGCACCCAAGACCTTCTATGAGACTTTTATGGCTCCAAGATGTTTAAGACACTTAACTTTTGCCGGGCGGTGGTGGCGCACGCCTTTAATCCCAGCACTTGGGAGGCAGAGGCAGGCGATTTCTGAGTTCGAGGCTAGCCTGGTCTACAAAGAGAAACCCTGTCTCAAAAAAAAAGACACTTAACTTTTAACTTTCATTTAGAACTTTAAATAATGGGCTAGGCATGGTGACACACACCTTTAATCTCAAAACTCGGAAGACAGGCAGAGCTCAGAGCTCTATGAGCTCCAGGTCAACCTGATCTACATAGTGAGTCCGTTAAAAAATAAAAAAGTTTAAATCATGTCGGACTACCAGCTGCAACGTGAGTTGGTCAACCGCTTGAAAACCCCGCTCCGCACTGAGTAGGTTGAGAAAGCAAATTCGCAAAACCTTCAATTTAAAAAAAGAAACACGATTCTGTTCGAAATGGTAAAGAGTGTCCCATACGATTTCTAGGACAGTGTCGCAGCAAGGCCGAGGCTGGGTTGCAGAGCACACATCTGGGACGCTCGGCTCCTTAGTGGACCCCATACCAGTACTACAAACCTCGGCAGGAGTCACAGAACACCTAACCATTGGGCGGACACACAAGGGCACATGCGCAGGCGCACAAGGGCCCCAGGGGGGTACTATCTCACCACACTGTTCGCTTCCGCGCTGGGCGCCAAATAAGTCTCCAGGCCCGCCCGGCCCGTGCGTGCGCGGCCTCGGTGTTGCGTCACTAGGAAGCGCGCGCCCGAGCTGCCGCCGCCGCCGCCGCCGCCGCCGAATCCCCAACAAGGAGCGAAGGCTGAGGCCACCACCGCCACCACCCGCCGCCGCACCCGTCACAGCCGGGCGCCGGAGCAGGCCCGTGTGGGCCCAGGTAAGCGGCATCGGCGCGCCCGCGCACCCCCGCGGCGAGGCTTCTCGCGCCGCTCACGCGCCGCCGTCCAGTCAGGGGTCCCTGCGGAGCGTCAGGACGTTACGGCGGGGGGAGGGGAGGCCGGGGGAGGGGCGGCGGGCGCGCGAGGGCGGCGGCGGCGTCAGGCGCGGCGGCGTCAGGCTGGCGGGCGGGCGCGGGTGCCTGGCGGGAGGGCTCGCGAAGGCGGCTCCCTTCCGGCCTCCATCTTGGCTTAGCCAGAAGCAGGGTCGGATCGTCAGTGAAAGCCAAGGCGGAAGGGACTGGAGGAGTTGGGAGCGGTTAGGCGGGAGTGGTTTGTTTGGGACCCGTCGGTGGGCACCAAATGGATCCGGTTCCTGAGGGAGGGTGGAGAGATTGGGAACGACTCATGGGTGGGACTTCATACCGGCGTAGACCCTTTGGTGGGACCTGTATTGATAGACCCTTGGCTTGGAACTGAATCTACAGAGACCCATGAATAGGGGCCAATATCATAAAAATAATGATAGGGACTCATCATCAGTTGGAACCATGTCAGTGTGAACCTGTCGGTGGGAACTGCGTTGATGGGGACCCATTTGTAGAACTTTGTGGTTGGTGGGGATTACATTGAATTCAATGGATAATCTTATTGCTGGGAACCGGATCGTTTGACCCAGTTTTAGTCACGATTGGTTACATTTTTAGGTATTTAGTTGGTAACTTCACTGCTGAGCCAAAGTTCTCTTTCTTGCAAACATTTCAAACACAACAATTTCAGTCATCATTTTTTTTTCAGTCATCATTCTTAATGAGTTAAAATTAAATTGATAACATGACTGCCTGTTTAGTGTGTTTCTTCATAGTATGTAAAACTTTCTGGAAGACATCTTGGAGTACACATACATACATACCATTTGGACATAGAAAAATAGTGCAAAGAGCAAACATGTCAGTGTGTGTGTGATTTAGAGCACTGAGAAAAACAAACCTAGGCCATAGACTAACTCACCTTATGACCAACCTGCAAAGGGAAGATACTTAGGTGTCTCTTCAGTGCCAGGAGGCAAACTCATGGATTGGGCCCGCCATATGGTAAGATTTACTGATCCCTACATTTCTTCCCTTCTCCCTGCCTTCCTAGACAGTCTTAATATCTAAGACTGGGGCCATAATCCCAGCCTGTGGGAAGCAGATGCAAATGGGTTTTTGAGTTCAAGGTCAGCCTGGTCTACAGAGTGAGTTCCAAGACAAAAAGAGAGGAAAAAACCTTTTTTGTTTTGTTTTGTTTTTGTTGTTGTTGTTGAGACAGGGTCCCTCCCTCCCTCCCTCCCCCCCCCCCCCCCTGGGGGGGAACTCACATTGTGTAGACCAGACTGCCCTCAAAACCTCCAGAGATCTGCCTGCCTCTGCCTTCTATGTGCTGGAATTAAAGCCATGCACCACTGTGCCCAGCTCCAGGTTGGTGTTGACATACCCATATCTTCATTCCTCTTGCCTCAGTCTTCCAAGTGCTGAAATTACAGAATATATAATATATATGATATGTATATGATACACATATATACATATATATTTGTTTTAAGATAGGATTATGCTACTGTGTAGGCTTGGCTGACTAGAAACTTGAAGCAATCCTTCTGCATCAGCCTCCTGAGTACTGGAATTATAAGTGTGTTCCACCATGTCCAGGTCAATGCAATTTTTGTTTTGTTTTTGTTTTATTAAGACAGGATTTCTCTTATGCAGGATTTCTGCATAGCCCTGGCTGTCCTGAAACTCACCCTGTAGACCAGGCTGGCCTCAAACTAGTAGATCCACCTGCCTCTGCCTCCTGAGTGCTGGGATTAAAGCATAAATCACCATCACTTGGCTCAATGCAATAGTTTTATTAAAGTGAAATTTAAAATGTTTGTTGAGGCTTGTTTAAAAGGTCTTTGAAGCCTAACTCTCAAACACTACATAAGTGAAAAACTTTCAGAAATAGGATGTTTGCCAATGTACATGAATTCCTTGTAGCTATTTCTTCCTGAGAAGCATTTGAAGATTGTCTCTTCACCTGAATTGGCCTAACCTGTGAATGGAGATTTTTGGAAACTCATAGCTAGAAATGTTCATAGTGGAGACTCCTACCTTAACTTAATGGATCTTAAACTATCTGTTGGATAGTTTCCAGATTTATGTTGGAGTAATAGGAAAAGGCTTGTTGTATTCAAGAATATTTTGAATTTTTTCTCAGTGTTGGGGTTGAAACATGTGGCCTCATAAATTTATATGCAGACTTGACAAGTACTCTGCCACTGAAGTTTGAAAATATTTTTTGTTTTTTGTTTTAGTACTTTTTTTCATTCCTTTGTTCTTTTTCTGTTTTCCTTCTCTGTTGCTCATTTTCTATACCTTTTTAATCAAGAAAGAGAAGTACGGCCTTATTTGTGGTTTCTAATAGTATCCCATACTTAAGTGTATTGTGTTGGGGCAGGGGAAATGGCTCAGTGAGTAAGCATGCTTGCTTTGCAGGTATGAGAACGTAAGTTCAAATCTCCAGAACTCACATAAAAGCTGGACATGTGGCAGGGATGTCTGTAATCCTAACCCAATTACTGGGAAATAGGCTAGAGACAGGAGAATCCTGAAAAGCTCAAAGGCTGTGAACAACAAAGAGATCCTGTTTTGAAACAAAGTGGAAAATGAGAGCCAATACCTCTTACCCTGTGCACAAGCACACAGCTCTTGCATTGATATTTCCTATTCTCCCCCAAACAGCAAAAGATAATATTCTAGGTATATGTTCAGTGTGTTCTCTGTAGTAAAATCAATGTTTCCTTGTGGATTTAGCTCTAGATGATTTTCCTTCTTACTCAAACAAATCCTCTAGTAGGCCTCATTGTTACCAGCTTGTGATTATTTTGGAAAATGGCTCCTAGCTTCTTCTTGCTTCTTTTTCTTTGTTAAGATTTCCATGCAACCATCCTTGCTTTTAGTCAGCTTACATTTTCTGGTTTCTTGGGCTTTGGGTTAGGGGTACTATAGGGACTGGATGTTGATGATTAGTAGCCCAGAAATCAGTCTTTACTTCCCTTTGGCCCTTGGGAATCCTCCAGAGACCCAGGTTCCACCCAGAACCAAGATCATTGATTGATATGTTTGCTGGTGGTAGTTAACTGGGGGAATCTGAAAGCTTTGCATTATTCTTTGTAGCAGAAGTTCATAAGAGCTTTCAGTTGCTGAGGTTTGGAGCCAGGTGTGGTGAGGTGCAATCAGTAATTCCAGCATTCAAAAGGCTGAGGCAGGAGGATCACAAGTTTAAGACTATTTTGGGTAACAAACATAATAAGACCCCCTCTCTCTCTAAAACATAAAGTGCTGGGGTGGGGGTGGGGCATATAAAGGTTGGATATATGTCTTAAAGAATTTGAGCTCTCTAAGTGGATGTGTTGTTACTGGCTGTGTTTGGATAGTTGGTTCTGCTACCAAAGGCTTAATTGTAGAGGCTGGAGGAGTGTGGTTGTGAAAGTGAAGTCTGTTTGAGAACTACTACATACTTGCTGCTTGATGAGTACTAGTCAGTAACAATTATTATGATAAAAATCAACTTCTGAGCCAGGCATGATAGCTCACATACCTTTAATCTCTGTACTGGAGAGGCAGAGGCAGGCAGATCTCTGAGAGTTCAAGGCTACCTTGTTCTACATAGTGAGTTCCATCCGGGTTAGCAGGGGCTAAATAGATGTCTTAAAAAGAAGAAAGAAATTTCTGAGGCCAGGGATCATTGGGCAAGGGCTCTTACTGCTAAGCTTGACATAAGTTTGATTCCCTAGGACCCTCAAAGTGGAAAGAAAATTATCTCCACCAAGTTGTTCTCTGCCCTCAGTGTTCTCTGACACAATCATGTACTCTCACACACATATAAATAATAAACTTTTTTTTAAAAAAAGTTCTGAGCCTAGTGTGATTGTGCACACCTTTAATTCTAGCACTGAAAGGCAGAGGAGGTGGATCTATGAGTCCAAGGCCAGTCTGGTCTGCAGAGTGAGTCCAGGACAGCTGGGGCTATACAGAGAAACTCCATCTTCAAACAAACAAGTTAAAAAGTAAATCTTTGAGAATTTTATACAATGTATTTTGATCACTATTCATCCCAAATTTATCCCTATTTTTCTACCATCTCAACTTACTATCCTCCCTTTTTAAAAAAATTAATAACCCATTGACTCCAGTTTATGCCATTCATATACTTCTGGATATGGGCTAACCACTGGAGTGTGGTCTACCTACCAGGAAACCTTTTTATTTTTATTATTATTGTATATCAGGTATAATATGTTAATGCATGCCATAGTGTGCATTAAAGGACATCTTTTGGGAATTGGTTCTCTTCTTCGACTGAGGGAGCTGAAAATCAAACTCAGATGATCAGGGTTGTATAGTAAGTGTTTTTATCCACTGAACAGTCTTGCAGGTTCTACATTTAAATAAAGGTTTTATTACCTGGGCAGTAGTGGTGCATGCCTTTAGTCCCAGCACTTAGGGAGGCAGAGGCAAGTGGATATCTGTGAGTCTGAGGTCAGCCTGGTCTACAGAGTGAGTTCCAGGACAGCCAGGGCTTCATATTCATAGTGAGACACTGTCTGGAATCCTCCCACCCCTGCAAAAAAAAAGCTCCAAAATTTTTACTATGACAAAATACATCATCTATTTATCAATCCATCCACCCATCCATCCACCCACCCATCTATTATTTCCAGAACTTTTTCAACATCCCATGTTAAAGCTTTGTACCATTAAACAGTATGTTTCCACTTCCCCTTCCCTGTCCTCAGTGAACTATTCTTTGTTTTATA